GTTTTATCAGATATTGTATAGTTTCATCAGATATTTGTTTGGTTTCATCATCAAACATTTGTAAGATTTTATCATATATTTGTATTGATTTGTCAGATATTTGTCTGGTTCCACCATACTGAGATTTATATGGATTCACTATACTGAGATTTGTAAGGTTTCATTAGATATTTGTAAGGTTACATCAGACATTTGGATGGTTTCATCAGATAGTTGTATTGATTTGCCATATATTTGTCTGGTTTCACCATACTGAGATTTATGTAGTTTCATCATATTGAGATTTGTAAGGTTTCATCAGACATTTGTATTGATTTGTCAGATATTTGTCTGGTTCCACCATACTGAGATTTATATGGCTTCACTATAATGAGATTTGTAAGGTTTCATCAGATATTTGTATGGTTTCATCAGATATTGTATAGTTTCATCAGATATTTGTTTGGTTTCATCAGATATTGTATGGTTTCATCAGATATTTGTATTTGTATGGTTTCATCAGATATTGTATAGTTTCATCAGCTATTTGTATGGTTTCATCAGATATTTGTAAGGTTTCATCATCAAACATTTGTAAGGTTTCATCAGATATTTGTACGGTTTCATCAGATATTTGTTTGGTTTCATCAGATATTGTATGGTTTCATCAGACATTTGTATGGTTTCATCAAATGTTTGTATTGTTTCATCGATATTTGTAAGGTTTCATCAAACATTTGTAAGGTTTTATCAGATATTGTATAGTTTCATCAGATATTTGTATGGTTTCATCTGATATTTGTATGGTTTCATCAGCCATTTGTATGGTTTCCTCAGATATTTGTATGGTTTCATCAGATATTTTCATGGTTTCAACAGATATTTGTATGGTTTCATCAAACATTTGAATTGTTTCATCAGATATTGTATGGTTTCATCAGACATTTGTATGGTTTCATCAAATGTTTGTATTGTTTCATCGATATTTGTAAGGTTTCATCAAACATTTGTAAGGTTTTATCAGATATTGTATGGTTTTATCAGATATTTGTATTTGTATGGTTTCATCAGATATTGTATAGTTTCATCAGATGAAACCATACAAATATCTGATGAAACCATACAAATATCTGAGGAAACCATACAAATGGCTGATGAAACCATACAAATATCAGATGAAACCATACAAATATCTGATGAAACTATACAATATCTGATGAAACCTTACAAATATCTGATGAAACCGTACAAATATCTGATGAAACCTTACAAATGTTTGATGATGAAACCTTACAAATATCTGATGAAACCATACAAATATCTGATGAAACCATGCAAATATCTGATGAAACTATACAATATCTGATGAAACCTTACAAATATCGGATGAAACCTTACAAATATCTGATGAAACTACTAATATTTGATTAAACCTTTCAATTTTTTGATGAAACCATACAAATATCGTTAAACCATACAATATCTGATGAAACCATACAAATGTCTGATGTAACCTTACAAATATCTGATGAAACCTTACAAATATCGGATGAAACCTTACAAATATCTGATGAAACCATACAAATAGCTGATGAAACCATACAAATATCTGATGAAACCATACAATATCTGATGAAACCATACAAATGTCTGATGAAACCTTACAAATGTCTCATGAAACCATACAAATATCTGATGAAACCATACAAATATCTGATGAAACCATACAAATTTCTGATAAAACCATACAATATCTGATAAAACCTTTCAAATGTTTGATGAAACCTTGCTAATATCTGATGAAACCATACAAATATCTGATAAAACCATACAATATCTGATAAAACCTTACAAATGTTTGATGAAACCTTACAAATGTCTGATGAAACCATACAAATATCTGATGAAACCATACAAATTTCTGATGAAACCATACAATATCTGATAAAACCATACAAATATCTGATGAAACCATACAAATAGCTGATGAAACCATACAAATATCTGATGACACCATACAAATATCTGTTGAAACCATACAATATCTGATGAAACCATACAAATGTCTGATGAAACCTTACAAATGTCTCATGAAACCATACAAATATCTGATGAAACCATACAAATATCTGATGAAACCATACAAATTTCTGATAAAACCATACAATATCTGATAAAACCTTACAAATGTTTGATGAAACCTTGCTAATATCTGATGAATCCATACAAATATCTGATAAAACCATACAATATCTGATAAAACCTTACAAATGTTTGATAAAACCTTACAAATGTCTGATGAAACCATACAAATATCTGATGAAACCATACAAATTTCTGATAAAACCATAGAATATCTGATAAAACCTTACAAATATTTGATGAAACCTTGCTAATATCTGATGAATCCATACAAATATCTGATAAAACCATACAATATCTGATAAAACCTTACAAATGTTTGATAAAACCTTACAAATGTCTGATGAAACCATACAAATATCTGATGAAACCATACAAATTTCTGATAAAACCATAGAATATCTGATAAAACCTTACAAATATTTGATGAAACTTACAAATATCTGATGAAACCATGAAAATATCTGATGAAACCATACAATATCTGATAAAACCTTACAAATGTTTGATGAAACCTTACAAATGTCTGATGAAACAATACAATTATCTGATAAAACCATACAAATGTCTGATGAAACCATACAATATCTGATGAAACCATTCAAATGTTTGATGAAACCATACAAATATCTGATGAAACCATACAAATATCTAATGAAACCATACAAATATCTGATAAAACCATACAAATGTCTGATGAAACCATACAATATCTGATGAAACAATTCAAATGTTTGATGAAACCATACAAATATCTGTTGAAACCATGAAAATATCTGATGAAACCATACAAATATCTGATAAAACCTTACAAATGTTTGATGAAACCTTACAAATGTTTGATGAAACCTTACAAATATTTGATGAAACCATACAAATATCTGATGAAACCATATAAATGTCTGATGAAACCATACAATATCTGATAAAACCTTACAAATGAACGAAATTGGATCAGCATCATTTTGAAGTTTCTCATCCAAACGGGATTAACATGAGACAACGGTTAGAATCAAACATTTTGGTGATGTTGGGCTGTTCAAGGAATCTTGTTTGCACTGGCGACACAGACACTTCAATACCCAAATTTAAGGGAATGGTTTTGTTCTAAGGTCAACAATACCTAAAAATTTAGAAAGTAAACATAAGGATTGAACAACATTTTTTTGATGTTCGTGCCGGTATGAACTACGGGGTACCTACATATTTACATTTAAGCTTGCTATGCGTTCATACCAGCATGAAATTGAAAAACAATTTGCTCAATCCTTATGGTTTTCTGTTTTCAAGTTGATCCAATCAATGTGAAGAAAATACCAAATCATGCAGTATTTGATGTGATTATTGAAGGGTTATAAAATACATTACCAGAAAAATTAATTGCTATGTTTTACAGTTAGTTTGGATATAAATTGATCTAAATATAAAATTTATATAAACTTTATTTATTTTACAACAATTATGAAACAAGTTATTTCAACTTATATTAATCGCTCTTGTCGGCCCAGGGCGCGAAGGGTCTAAATGTGGGAGGAAACCGGCGTACCCGGAGAATCCCTGTCCCACTGCACTGTGGTTTATATTCGACGGGGGTATATATTATGGCATAGTGTCTGCATCCGTCTGTCCGGTTAAAGTTTAATTTTTGGCATGGATGTTCATGTGGGGTCTATAAAGGACAATATGGATTCAATATGGGAAAATAATTTCTATTTTTGTAAATTTTGGACGTGTTTGGGACTTAACTTTTCTCGCACAATTCCTCGGTTACAGTTTTGGTGCAAGTTTCTTCAGTGGTGTACAGTTCAGTCAGATCATGTGTACATGTTATTGTCATAATTTTACACATGGATGTTCATGTGGGGTCTATTATGGATTTAATTTGGGAAAATAATTTTTATCACATAGACATGACACTGGCTACCAGGTCCTTTAAATATGAAACAAACAAAAAATCATTGGATAGGGTCAGACGGGCGAATTATGCATCGTTTGCGGTGCTCTTGTTCCTATATACAGTAACCTCCCCTTAACATCCGTTTGGTTGTCACTGTATACATTTGGGTCAAGACACCTCAATTCTGTTGACCAGGTATATACGCGTAGCTCAGTCGGTCAGAGTCTACCTAACTGAAGTCAAGGGTTCAACTACTAGTGTAGCCGAGCTGATGATTCTTTTTACATTCAATAGATTGTTGTTTATTAAATGGACAGGTAAAATTCTACCACAACTTAATCAGCGTCGAGACAAATGTTGGTTGACACCGATATCGTAGTTAAAGTTGATAAGATATGTTGATTAAGTTGACGTATCATCATCATAGCCATTTTGGCAATTGGCAAGGCGACATGAAGTACATTAAAGCATTCTTGTACCAAAAACCCCTATAAATATGCATCAGAATTTTGCTTTTTCCAGCATGACTTGATCAAGTTTCGGCAAATCATGTCTGAACAGAAAACCACAACTTTGTGGAACTTGATGAAAAAAAAGGTGATCGCATCATATTGTTGCTATAACAGTTTTAGCTAAATCCTGGACAATGGGACTTCTTCCCTGGCCCAGTCGCACTAGCTATACCCAAAACAAAATTAAGAGGAGGTAACTGTGTGTTTCGAAAAAAGGGCAGTGTTTTACCTCGGACAGGGATCCTTAAGGTGACATATTCAGATATTCATGTCAACTTTACGAGATATAGCACTCCTGTAATTCAACCTAAAATCATTTAGGCAATCCAGTTATTGACCTTAATTAGTACTAAATGGTGGATGCCATTACATAAAGCTGGAGTACCATTTTGATTGTTTTAATATCCAAGTACATACATTTCAGTGGTGACCTGTATTTTTAGAAAAGTCTTCACTTTGTGTCTTTTCAGATGTCTGTCATTATCCGTCTGCAGGGCCTTCCGTGGTCGGCAAGTGCCATGGACATCAGGAGGTTCTTCAAGGGCATGAGCATCCCACCAGGGGGCGTGCACATCATTGGCGGGGAGCTAGGCGATGCCTTCATTGCCTTTTCCAGTGATGAGGATGCTCGGCAAGCTATGATGCTGAATATGCAATACCTGGACCAGGATCAAATCAAGCTGTTTCTCAGCAGCAAAACAGAGATGCAGAATGTGATAGCCGCTGCTAAAACCACCAGTGTGGCTGCTGTACCACAAAGCCAGCCACAGATAGCGGCACAGCCACCATCCCACCCCAGCATGCCTGTAAACCCACATCTCCAGGGCTACCCAGCTAACGACCAGCAACAGGCTGCATATCCTAAAAGGGGCCCCATCTCGGGCCAGGATCCTACTAGAAGCCAACAATTCCCAAATCATCCTTATGAAGGACATCAGTATCCTCAGTATCCGGAGGAGCAAGCGACAGCCGATATAAATAGATTTGCTCAGACACCATATGAGCAAGCTAGGGGTCAGCACCAGGCAGCCTTTCCAGACCAGGGAAGAGGTCTACAGCCAGCTGCTCCCTTTGAACAAGGCAGGGGCTCAGATCAAGCACTCAATAGGGGTAATGCTTCACATCCAGCTCCCTTCAACCAGGCTAGAAGTCTGCATGAAGCTCCCCTGGATCAAGGAAGAGGTCAGCCTCCATTTGATCCGGCGAGGGATCCACATCAGCCTCTATTTGATCCAGTGAGGGATGCACATCAGCCTCTTTTTGATCAGGCAAGGGGTCCACATCAGCCAGCATTTGATCAGGCAAGGGGTCCACATCAGCCACCATTTGATCAAGGAAGGGGAACTCATTTTGATCATGGTAAAGGGCCAAATCAAGCTCCCTCCGAAGGAAGAGGTCCACCAGTGTCTACCTTTGAACATGGGAGAGAAGGTAGAATTTTATCTCGGTCACCATTTGAAACTGGCCGAGGTGTCCCACCTGCTGGCTTTGGCCAAGGGCAAGAAGGAAGAGACATATATGTACCTGGGCGTGATGCTAAGGGCCCCCCACCACTATATGAGCCAGGAAGGGAGGGCAGGTTGCCTTTTGACCATGAAAGAGACACAAGGCCACCATTTGATCAAAGGCGAGAGGCTGCAACAGGTAGAGAAGACGGGTTTGAACAAGGTCGCGGTCCACCACCTCTGTATGAACCTGGGCGGGAGGCTAGAGGTCCTCCCCCAGCTGGCTTTGGTCCAGGACCTGCTGCTAGAGCTCCACCTCAGTCTTCTGCATTCAGTAGAGGAGGAGAGGAGAGACCACCATTTGAGTCGGACAGAGACTCCCGAGAAGCAGGTCGAGACTCCAGAGCACAATCTGGAAGTGTGCCTCTAAAATCAGATAGATCCCAAATAGATAAACCTGATGAAAGACGCATTGGTGAGAGAAATGAACGCCGTGATTCTCCACGAGGATCAACAAGTAGGATGGATAGGGATCGAGACCGGGAAAGAGACAGGGATAGGGGCCATGATCGGGATAGAGATCGGGATCGGGACCGTGATCGTTACAGGGATAGAGACAGGGACAGGGATCGTGATAGAAGTGATCGACGGGACAGGGACAGAGAGCGAGACAGAGAGCGAGAACGGGATAAGGAACGGGATCGGGATAGAGAACGGGACAGAGACCGGTCTTATTCGTCACGATCTGGTGAGAATAGAAGATCTCAGTCGAGGACCAGTGATCATAGTGACAAATCAAAGACATTGAGCTCAGCCTCTGTCAAATCAAAAACTGCTGCCCAGCCTACATCAACGACCACAAAACCTGCAACCACTATTAGCACTCCAAGTGTTCTGTCCACCGCTGCCAGTGCTAACAAGATTATGGCCGCTCTGCCAAATCTGAAGGACATAAAGCTGCCTCCGGGCTTAAAAGATATAAAGTTACCTCCAGGTTTGAAAGACATTAATCTGACATCTGTGATGAGCTCTGCTGCTGGTCTACCTACAGCAGCAAACACCCCAGGAAAACCCGAGGCCAGTTCTGTAATGAAAGACAAAGAGGCAAACTTTGTTGGTCAGCAGCCAGGCAGACCACTACCAGCAAATATGGCAGGTGCTCGCAGGAATGAGCAAGGAGCACCAAAAGGTGTACTACCTCCTCCCCATCCTGTTCAGATTTCTCAAGGACCTCCACCACTGCAAAACAGTTTGAGAGACCAAGGACCTCCATTTAGAGATCACGGTCCTTCACCTCATCGTGACCAAGGACCCCCTTTCAGAGATCAAGGACCTCCTTTTAGAGATCAGGGACCTCATGGCCCTTCACCTCATCGTGATCAAGGACTTCCATTTGGAGACCATGGACCTCATGGCCCTTCACCACATCGTGATCAAAGACCTCCATTTAGAGACCAGGGACCTCATGGCCCTTCACCAAATCGTGACCAAGGACCACCACCATTTAGAGAGGGAGGACCTCCACCATTTGGCGACCAGGGACCTCCACCATTTAGAGAGGGAGGACCTCCACCATTTGGAGATCAGGGACCTCCACTGTTTAGAGACAGTGGTCCTCCTCATGGAGATCAGGGACCTCCACCGTTTAGAGACAGTGGTCCTCCTCATGGGGATCAGGGACCTCCATTTAGAGAAGGAGGACCACCATTCAGAGATGGAGGACCCCCCTTTAGAGAAGGAGGACCTCTCTTTAGAGATGATGGGCCACCTTTCAGAGAAGGAGGACCCCCATTTAGAGAGGGAGGACCACCATTTAGAGATGGGGGACCCCCATTTAGGGAGGGAGGACCACCCTTTAGAGATGGGGGACCCCCATTTAGAGAAGGAGGACCCCCATTTAGAGAGGGAGGACCACCTCATAGAGATCAGGGGCCCCATCAAGGACCACCATTTAGAGATCGAGGTCCACCCCCATTTCCTGAGGAGGATAGATATGGAGATGGGACTGACGAGGGGAGATTTGGCCCTAGTGATGGAGACATGTTCCATGATGAACGACCACGCCCAGGGTTTGCTAACAGACCTCCTTCGGCTCCTGATAGGCGACCCGACAGACCGTCACAGGGTCTGCTTCCCCTCCCTGATATGCCACCCCTGTCAGCTCGTAGAGGCCTAGGGGGTCCAGCTGGAGGACCAGAGGGGCCGAGAGGACCCGAGGACCGCTTTGGTCCTCCATTTGGTGGACGTCCTCCCCATGATGGACCACAGTACGATCCAAACTATGAAGAAGGACATCATCAAAATGAGCCTTTTCATTCAGATAATGAAATGCAACAAAATATGGAATTTGAGGAGCCTGGAGGCAGGCGGCAAGGCATGCCCCCCATACCAAATGGGCCATCAATTAGACCCCTTCTGGGGGGCCTCCATGGGCCTCCCCGGCATCCAATGGGGCCTCTCATGGACCCTGAGGCGAGTGGAGATTACCATGAGTTTCCTGCAGATGGAAATCAAGGTGATTTTGATGAGAGGTCAGGACCATTTCCTCCTGGACCAAGGGGACCAAGACCTCCACATTCAAGATTCGGACCACCAAGAGATTTGGACCATCGACCAGCTAATTTTGAGAGAGATGGGCCTCCTCACAGGAGGGTCCCAGACCATCATGGTCCACCTGAGGATATGGTTGGTGACTTTCCTCCAGATGACAGAAACTTCCGTGAAGACATTGGTCCAAGTGATGCAGATCATCGACCACAAAGAGGAGGCCCACCTAGATTTCATGATGGCCCTCCACATGGACGCAGCTTTGGTGGAAGAGATCGACCATTTGGACCTAGAGATGGTCCCCGGGATGACCGGAACTGGGGACGGAGTCAAGATTTATCTCGTTCAGATAACATTCGAGAATCAGAACGATATCCACATGGTAGAGGGAGAGATTTTAGGGACGGAAGCCCAAGAGATCGGGGGGATAGTGAACGGACTAGAGATTCCAAAGGAATACTAGGGGAGGCTCCTCCGGGAATGAAGCCCATCTCAAGATCATTTGAGGAAAGCCGTTCATCTAGTGGTAGACAGGAGGATGAATCGCGTCACAGAGATTCAAGACATGGTGATTTGCGTCACAGTGATTCTCGACATGGAGACTCGCGGTACAGTGATTCTCGACACAGTGATTCGAGGCAGTCCAGCGAGAGTAAGGACAATGACATGAGGGGACAGAAACGCTCTTACAACCCGACGCTGTCTTTCATTGTTTGTGTGTCTAACATGCCATCAACCGTGACTTTCCGGGAAGTGAGACATTTCTTCCTTGGATCTGAAATACCTTGGGATGGAATGAAGCTTATTAATGATAATGAAGGGAATCGAGTGGGAAAGGCATATATTCGATTTGATACACGAGACAATTACAGACAGGCCTTGAATGTGCACGGTAAAATCATGAATGGCAGAAAAGTGGATGTGCGTTCATGCCCTCTGGAAGAATGGAACAAAGCTATTGACTCCTATATTCCAATCAAAGCAGAAAGTAAGTCATCTGAATCACAATCCCCGACAGACTCCTCTAAAAGACCTCGTCTGGAGGACATTTCTAAAAAGTCGGAGAAAACTGATCCAAAGTCATCAAACACGGATAAAAAATCATCAAGCTCTGATAGCAAGTCTTCAAGTTCAGACAAAAAACCAGTCAGCGTAGAGAAAAAGTCTATCAGCCCTGAGAAAAAACCTGTGAGTGTGGAGAAACAGATCACAGACAAACATCCAACCAATCCTGATAAAAAACAAACAGGCTCTGAGAAAAAGCCACCGAGCTCAGAGAAAAAAGGAACAAGCATTGTACAGCTGAAAGGGTTGGGGATGAATGTTATCAAGGAGGATGTACGTAATTTCTTCAAAGAGTTGAAAGTCAGCGAAAATGCAATGACCATATATATCGAATATGACGTAAAAGGTCGAGCGACTGGCATAGGCTTTGTGGAGTTTACAACCGCATCGGATCAGGAGAAGGCCCTCAAACTGGACGGCAGAAAGTTAAGTCAGCGAATAGTTCGTGTATGTGCAGCCAAGCAGAGTGAGTTGGATCAGATGACACAAAGACAGCAAGACCAACTGGCCAAGTCTGCCGAGATGGACTTTTTTGACGCCCCAGACGTGGGTGGGAAACCTGCCAGTAAACCAGTAAATAGTGACTCAAATGTGAACGGAAAAACCGAAGAGGTGGCAACAGATAAAGACGATACATATGCTCTGTTTCATTTTTATTGTGCACACATGCAGGGCCTGCCTCCCTATGCAGGCATACAAGAGATACAGCAGTACTTTCAGGGACTAGAGATTGTACCACGGGGGGTTCAGTTTGTCAAAGACTCGGGCGGCAAGTCTTTAGGTGAGGCCTTCATCGAGTTTGTTACCAAGGGCGATTGTGAGAAAGCAGTAATGAAAACAAACGGTAAAATGAGCAACAACACCATTTCCGTGAAAGGGATCTCCAAGTCCGACATGAATGATTACCTTCAACAGACTCGTATCCCAATGTCTAGACATGGTATGACTCCACGACCGCCTCTTCCTCCAGTAATGTCTGGTGTTCCTCCTTCTCATGGCCCACCCTCGCTTGGTCCTCGCCCACATGGCCCACCCTCTCATGGCCCTCCGCCTTCTCATGGCCCACCGCCCAATCATGGCCCACCACCACATGGACCTCCCCATGGCCCACCTCCACATCAACTCGGAAGGCGACCTGCATTCTTTCTGAGAGCACAGAATCTTCCTTTTACTATGTCAATACGTGAAGTACACAGTGTCTTTAAAGATTTTGATCCGATCTACGAAACAATCAAAGTGCAGATAGGAAACGATAGTAAGACGGGAGGCACCTCCGCCATTGTTGGCTTCCGGACACCGGAGGAGCGGGATACTGCCTTGAACAATCTCCACCAGAAGGTCTACCGTAATAAAACAATGGTGCTACTGCCGGCATGAAGCTGAACAGGTAGGTTGATACATATGTTGTCTTGGGCCTACAAATCTGTACCACTTAACCTGGTAATTTTCCTTTTCAAGTTTTTGAGTGAACAAAATATCCAATCAATACCTGAAAACAAAGGGTTGGCCTGAAATTCAACTAAAATATCTAACTCATTCCCCCCTGAAGACACATTTGAACTCTTCCAATTCAAAGGTGGATATAGTTCATTTTGAGATTTCAGGGGTGAATGAGTTAAAGGGTCAAAATGAGCCTTGAATTAGACTTAATGATCACAAATAGATTAAGAAAACACAACAAAATGAAATATTTATTACAAGTTGATTTCTAGATTTTTCGAAACCTCCAGATCTCTGTATATTTTGAGTATTTGCAAATGGTATGTGGGAGAATTCAGTTTTTCTTTTAAAGCTCTTTAGGGAAAGACATTTTACTGTTGAAGTCTGTGTTTAATGAATTGATGGGTCTAACGTTAACAGTACTACACAATACACCATACACATTCCCTTCTGTTTGACAGGTCTGTTTGGCTTCCAGAGATTGTAAGACGACATATCGTTACTTCACAGACCAGTTACTGGAGATTGAGAGGCAGCCATCTTGTTACTTAACAGACTGTCCGGTTACTGGTGGAGATTGAGAGGCAGCCATCTTGTTACTTAACAGACTGTCCGGTTACTGGAGAGTGAGAGGCAGCCATCTTGTTACTTCACAGACTGTCCGGTTACTGGAGAGTGAGAGACAGCTATCTTGTTACTTCACAGACTGTCCGGGTACCGGAGATTGTGAGATGGCCATCTTGTTACCAATATTACTGTGTTGTGAATGTCCTTGAGCAAATGTTGAGTTCTAGAGGTGCTCACTAAAGAAAAATTGGTTCAGCTCCAAGCTGCTAAAGATGATATACTGTATTAGTACTATGACCTTGAACAAAGGTCATATTCAACCTAACCGGAAATGAAGGTCTGGTTCAATTCTGGAGATGCACAGGAGAGTTCTAATTCTCGAGCTTGACAGCTGCTTAAGGCATTGTTAAATATTCAAGTGTGCTGAACCAAGTGTTGTGAACTTATTCTGCCAAAGTAAGCACGGCTGTGACCTGAAAATGTGTGATGTACTGTACTATCGGAGAAAAAATCTGATCCTACCGTGCACGTGTATCGCCACTTCAGTGAAGTGTGAAATCCGAGGGAGTCTTGTGTGACTATATAGCTAGGTCCTACTAGGCCCTAATCTTTTGCAGAAAAAGTACAGTTCTATGGTTGTAAATAGTGGTGATGTAGACATGAAACTGAACTCAGATTGGATCCAGTTTAGTTTGTTTCAAACTTTAATTTGAAACAAATTATAGTTGCAAAATGATTGACCACAACTCTGTTTTATGAGTAGAGATTACCTTTGTGTAAATAATTGCTCCATCAAAAAAGTCATCGTTGATCATACTAAGTCATTAGTTCTGGAAGGAGATGTGCATTAATTACATTAATTACTCTTAGTTTTGTCTTTTAACATTAAGTTTAAAAACAGATTGTTAATATTTTAACTACTTTTTTTTTTTTAATTTTTTAAAAACACATTATAATCCCAGAAAGGTGTAAATAATATTAACTTGAGTGAATTCTCATCACAGCAACAGTAATAATGCTGCACTCATTGGCCTGGTAGCTGTGATACACAGCTATAGGTTCTAGTAACAGTGACGAGATTTGGAGATCGCTGGGATACTCAAGTAATTTTATAAAGAAAAGGTTCAATCTTTCCCCTAAAACAATGATTGGGAGGATCACATTAGTCGTGGCTAGATTAACGAGGCTTGACTATGTTTTGATAGAGATTTGAGTAGGAAGGATTGCTAGGTGTATTCGTGGTCACATTTATAGTAAATACAATGTGTAGCTGGTTATTTGTATGGCTCTGAATTTTCATGATTTGTACTGAAATCAAATTTACACAGATCCAACTTTTGCTATCTGGAGATACGTTTGCAGATGTTACTGCCTCCTTATGTATAACTGGAAGTTACGTATGAAAGGGTTGTTCTATTGGACCCGCAACTATTTCTTGTATACATTATAACAGAGGCAGGAATAGAAAAGATACAAGCATTAATTTAAACAACAAAATTATGATTGTTAAGAACATCTTGGATAATAATACGGACATTTAACACCTATAGATCGTCCTTTCTTGTTGACGTCAAAGTACATCATGTCTCAGATGTTACAAGAAAAACTCTCATTGGCACTATATATGAAGAAAGCTATGCTGAATAATATCTTAAAGAAAAGTGTTTTTTTTTTTTTTTTTAGAAATGAATACAACCTTAAAGCTTATTTAACAATAAATAGGGCATCTTAATACAAGCAATCAAATATATGGCCCGGGCATCAACGAGCGAAAATATCGCCACGAAAAAAACAAGCTACCGGTATATGGTGGGTTTCATGTTATGCTTACACATATTTCGTACTTCAATTTGCACTGATTTTTAAGTCCTAATTATTTGTTCATTTTCATCATTTTCATCACATTCAACATCATATTCTGATTCATCAAGGAGCTGCAAGTATCATCTACAATCAGTAAAATTAAAGCATCTTGCTCCGAGGGATTGTCACGGGGATAACTCTAGCCTTCCAGAGCTGCTAGCAGACACACAAAATAAATGCCAAACAGTTGTCATTCTACTATCATCAAAATCCTTCTCTGTATAACTCGTACAGGTAGAACAGGATGAAGTGACTATTTTTATCACCTGGGGATGTGATACAAGTTTTACAAAGTATATAGTAAATTCTATACGGGCCAATCGATGGTATTGATTGTGTAATATTATGCTGTCAACATGAATATTTCTGATATACAACGCTGTCCACACGACAAACTAAGAGTTGCAACTTCAACTTCGCAACTTCATAATTTTAACACAACAACACGAAAACAGCACCAAATGATATCAAAGCTGCATAGTTGTTAGTTTACAGCAAATTTTATTGAAAAGCGTTCAGTTTGAGTGTTTATAATGAAGCAGCACATGGTTACTGTATTTATTTATACTCCGTACTTAAAGATTCGTATTTTATCATGTTACAGATATTTGATGTAAGTAGTTTTACTCTATTTAATGATGTCCTTACATGTTTATGTATTTTGCAAAATTTGGACAAATTTCCAACATACTTGGTAACACCAACAAGGAAATCGAAATTTGACTTTTAATTTAAATCTTCCCACAGCCGGAGAAAGCTCAAGGTCATTAACAGTTTCACATGTAGAGGATTCACAACTGTTGGGCTAGATTTTCGAATCGGTTCGATAGTGATACTATAAGCTTTTTACTTCGTCACTGTGCTGTTGCAGCTTCTGTGAGAACTTTTCCCCCGATTGTCCCAGCAGATTTTTGTCATCCTGTTATCATTGTTCCATCATGTACGACCGTGTTCGATGTGATTATTAAATTTAAATATTCTAGATTGTTTTTGTTTTTGTTTCTCTTGGTAACAGGATGGCATTGTTTGTCATGTAAACATGATATATAAACAAACATAAACTGAAATTGAAAAACTTCAAGTGTAAAATGTTTGTGCATAACTTTAATAATAATTTAATTGTAAATACTATATACAGCAGTAAACTTTTACCTTTTGCCAAGGAAATCCATATTTGACGAGAGTTACAGGTTACAGATAACAAAAAATTAAAAGGCAGTGAAAGTTTCCCACACATCTTCAACAACTGTGTGTATTTTACATTTTCATACAATCAGATATACATACAAACTTAAAAGACAAGTTTTTAGAAAACAACGTTTATTTCCTCGCATACTTTACCAATTTGCACACGATGGTTATTCATGATTTAGTAAATCATAATTCCTTTGACTTACTGGATATAGTGAACTCTTTCAGAACATCGCCATGAAGATGAAAGTCAATTACAATTACATTATAGTTATTATGACGATTTCATACATTGTCATAAAGATGACAGTTAAAAAAATGTATATTGTTCCTTGTATAAGAATACCTTTTATTCACTGGCAAAAAATGATCAGATTGTGACCCTTTGAAAGCATGTTGACTCATTCAGACTTTTGTTGTCTCAAACATTGGTAAATTATCTCCCTTTGATCTCCTTGTCTACAACACTGGTAAATCTCCTTTTGATGTCCTTGTCTCCAACACTGGTAAATTATCTCCCTTAGATGTCTTTGTCTCCAAAACTGGTAAATTATCTCCCTTTGATGTCTGTCTCCAACACTGGTAAATTTTCTCCCAGTGATGTCCTTTGTTCAACATTGGTTAATTATCTCTCTTTGATGTTCTTGTCTCTATACTCTGGTCTCATATTTTCCTGTACATGTTGTATCCTTGTCTCAAACATTTACCTCTCTTCGATGCTGTTGTCTCCATACTGTGGTAATTTATTGTCCTTTTTGTTTCAAACACTTGGTAACTATCTTCCTTTCATGTCTTTGCCACCAATACTTTGGCGTCGAGTTTCTACATCAATCACCTGGAAACAGTAAAAAATATATTACAGGCGATATATTTATCATTTAAAAAAAAAGTCTGTTCTGTTGTATTTCTATGAAAGAATTTCACCAAAAAATAAAACTGGACAATATTCACATCTCTGATTCCACCTAGATCACGTAACACACAGATTTTGTTGCTAGATACATAGTCTTGCTAATAAATATGATAAAGGAATTCATAGTGAGGCAGTCTGTTATTACACTGATCACTTACCGGTTGTACCTGTCCCTCGGCTATCATCCTCATCTCTTGTCTCAGGTTCTCAGACGTAGGCAGGTCCTGGATTCGTAAAGTTGATAAATGTTATTCATTTTGAATCATAATGTTTTTAATTAATGGGCCCAATATTTATAAAATTTCATATTTCTATCATCATTTCACTCCCACTATCGTTTTGTTCTGATGGAAAAGATCAAGATACATTGACTGAAATTATATGAAAATATTTCTCTAATTGCCCAATTACCGTTTTCCACATGACCTATGTTCAAATCATATTGTGTTTATTTCTGTCGGTCAGTGATACAAATTTTTGATGTGATTTTTAATGAAGTTTTCCTAGAATGATTCGGCAAGTGTAAAATAATGATGTAAGAATTGGGGAGATAATATTTAACATATCACTTCAATTGACATTATACACTTAAATAGTACCTGACTTTACCGACACCTGTATTTACCAACAACTGACTTTCACGGACACTTGACAACATAGACACCTGAATTTACTGAAACATGTGTTTACCAACACCTGACTTTACTGAGACCTGTATTTACCAACACCCGACTTTACTGAGACCTGTATTTTCCAACACCTGACTTTACTGAGATCTGTATTTACCAACACCTGACTTTACTCAGACCTGTATTTACCAACATCTAACTTCACTGAGACATGTGTTTACCAACACCTGACTTTACTGAGACATGTGTTTACCAACACCTGACTTTACTGAGACCTGTGTGTACCAACACCTGACTTTACTGAGACCTGTATTTACCAACACCTGACTTTATTTACCAACACCTGACTTTACCGAGACCTGTATTTACCAACACCTGACTTTACTGAGACCTGTATTTACTAACACCTGACTTTACTCAGACCTGTATTTACCAACACCTGACTTTACCGAGACCTGTATTTACAAACACCTGACTTTACTGAGACCTGTATTTCCCAACACCTGACTTTATTTACCAACACCTGACTTTACCGAGACCTGTATTTACCAACACCTGACTTTACTCAGACCTGTATTTACCAACACCTGACTTTACTCAGACCTGTATTTGCCAACACCTTACTTAACTGACAGTTTGATTAGGTGAGCTAAAACATGAGACAGATGAACACTTTGAAATGGCATAAGCTCACTTGTCCTTCAGGAAAGTGATCTAACAATGATACAGCCAGTCTAAAACAGATTATGAGGCTCGCAGAAAGCAAAAAACTGATAAATGAGACGACACAGCAGTCGGTTGAGAGATTGAATTAGTTATAAAATGAAATGGAAAATGTCAACAGCAGACAGAAGAAGATATATCAACATGTTAAACACAGCAATGATATACGCGATAGACTTCAGTTCGAATTCAAAAGGAGTGTAGACAACACGACAGAACCTTCTGTAATAATGAATCTTTTCCAGCCTCTTATTTACATGTTTCGACTATAGGGCGAGCCGTCATCAGAACCATCACCTTTAACCTTCGTTAATACATGCCTGAAATATGTAACCACAAGGCTGAAATAAATTCTTACACATGTAAGATTCTGTCACGTTGTCCAGGCTCCTCTCAATACATCTATGCACTATTAGTGTAGACTACACGTATCTATGGCGGAAATCGGCGGAATTATGCCAAAATTTCAACTAAAAGGGAAGTTGTGTCTTTATTCTCATGGAGTGAAAATCAGTTACTTTCATAAACATTTCCCAGGCATAAAATTAAACTGTGACTGGGTTGGGTTCAACTGCATTAACTCATTCATCCCTGAAGCCTCATTTGAACTCTTCCAAATCAAAGGTCGGAATAGTTCATTATGACATTTCAGGGGTGGATGAATTAAATGTCGAAATTCTCTACGGTTTCTGCCAAGCTGCTGGTTGGAATACGAACCATGACGTATAACTTGGTCACTTTGAACAGTCGGGTTGCACACGATGTATAGATGGCAGAGCTTCGATCAACACCATTTTTCTGCAACACATCGTCGACAATATCCTGCAGTTTCTACAATTCATAGAATAATAATAATTAATGATAATTCAAGGTTCTTACATACCGCTTTATCACAGCCTAGTTCGTAGGTCGTCTCAAAGCAATTCACAAATTATTATCCGTGGTTATAGGGCCTTTGCAACCAGCCAATACCTTTCTCAACTCCCTGGGGAGCATACAGCCGGAGCTGCCATTTCGGCGCTCACAGCTAGCATTCAATAAATCTAGCACTGCCTAACCACGTACTCATTTACAGCTGAGTAGACTGGAACAAGCGGAGTAAAGTATCTTGTTCAAAGATACAACACAGTGACGTGACGAGACTCGAATCCGCAATCCTTCAGTCACGAGCCCGGCGTCCTACCACTAGACTACCATGCCTCACAACCCTTCAGTCATGAGCCCGGCGTCCTACCACTAGACTACCGTGCCTCCGTAAAGAAGAAGAGGACATACCAGGGCTAGGACAATATAATGGGATACATGCTTCAATGATACATGTATTGATACACAGTACAAAGTATTGCTGTATCATGATACATCACACGAGAAAATTATTTAAAATTTTGTCATTTATGTTGATAAAATATTCTTATCATCATGTACAATGAGTCTTCTCAAGTATTGTTAGAAGTGCCTATACATGTGTAACAGAAAAGAGAATAAGTGTGCCTCCACCGGGGATCGAACCAGCGATCCCTAGCTTGGTTCCTAGTCCGACTCTCTACCACTGAGCTAAAGGAAAACTCCCTCTAGCACGAAGTGACCGTTATCTGATGTACAATTAAAATTTGCCAAACATTGCAATCAAAAACTGGAATTATCGTCAAAGATGACTCCACAAAATTGCCCTATCCACTGTTCAACTTAATCAGTTAGAACAGTCTTCCCTGGCCTAGAATAGTGCAGTAACTGTTTGATGTCAGGGTATGAGTTAACCAAAGCCATATGAAATGGAGGACACTTGCAATCATTAAGAGGAGATATAGGCAAAATTAAAACTTATGACAGTAATTTTGTCAGAAGGGATAAATTATCACCTAAGAAATGTATTAAAAAGTGAATATAGACTACGTAGAAAATACATATAAAACCATTTTCACCTTCTTGTGTCTCTCGGAACGAGACACACGCTGCTGTTCCATCGTCTCGGATGCCCTCCTGTTGGATGCTGAGCTGTTCATTCTACTTTCTGTTCCCGATAATGACAATCGACTCCCTCTAGGTGCCGTGGATTCTCGAGCATTACCTCCCCTGATGGCCGGCTCGTAAAGCGAGTGGCGCCGCTGACTTGAGAAAGCACTTTGGGATGTTGCTTTTCGAGGAGATCTCCTAAGAGGTAAGAAGTCTGTATTTGATTGACTTGGGGACAATTGCTGAGGTAACTCGGCTCGTGTTGAAAGAGAAGAAACTTTTCTTGGGGACCGTCGGATGTTTGAATCTGCTCCTGCAAATTTTGCTGAAGGGTTTTTTCTAGGTGATTTTCGTAACGTCTTCAGGGGGGATTTCACCGAAGGTTTCACCCGTACCGAAGTCTTTGGTCTCTTTCCACTTTTTTGGGGACTTGATGCCTTTTTCTTCTTTTTCCCCAAATTGAAGATGGGGACTGAGCAGGAGCTATCGGTTTCGTCCCTAATATAGCGCTCCTGTAGCTTCTGTTTATGACTGTCCAGCCTTTCACCCTTCTTGTCTCTGTTTAAACTGCAAACAAATGTCAAAACAATGTTCACTAAAATACACCAGATAATCTGTATCTAATGTAGAGGACCAGCGGTGAGTGAAGGTATTTCTCTACCACTTCATACAATGACTACCACTCCATACAATTACTACCACTCTATACAATGACTACCACTCCATACAATTACTCCCACTCTATACAATTACTCCCACTCTATACAATTACTACCACTCCTTACAATTACTACCACTCTATACAATTACTAACACTCCATACAATTACTACCACTCTATACAATTACTACAACACCATACAATTACTACCAAGCTATACAATTACTACCACTCCATACAATTAATACCACTCTATACAATTACTACCACTCCATAAAATTACTACCACTCTATACAATTACTACCACCCCATACAATTACTACCACTCCATACAATTAATACCACTCTATACAATTACTACCACTCCATACAATAACTACCACTCCATACAATTACTACCACTCCATACAATTACAACCACTCTATACAATTACTACCACGCCATACAATTACTCCCACTCTATACAATTACTACCACTCTATACAATTACTACAACACCATACAATTACTACCAAGCTATACAATTACTACCACTCCATACAATTACAACCACTCTATACAATTACTACCACTCCATACAATTAATACCACTCTATACAATTACTACCACTCCATAAAATTACTACCACTCTATACAATTACTACCACACCATACAACTACTACCACTCTATACAATTACTACCACTCTATACAAATACTACCACTCTATACAATTACTACCACACCATACAATTACTACTACTCTATACAATTACTTCCACTCTATACAATTACTCCCACTCTATACAATTACTACCACACCATACAATTACTACCACACTATACAATTACTACTACTCTATACAATTACTACCACTCTATACAATTACTAACACTCCATACAATTACTACCACTCTATACCATTACTACCACACCATACAATTACTACCACACTATACAATTACTACTACTCTATACAATTACTACCACTCTATACAATTACCACCACTCTATACAATTACTACCGCTCCATACAATTACTACCACTCCATACAATTAATACCACTCTATACAATTACTACCACTCCATAAAATTACTACCACTCTATACAATTACTACCCCTCTATACAATTACTCCCACTCTATACAATTACTACCACTCCTTACAATTACTACCACTGTATACAATTACTACCACTCCATACAATTATTACCACTCCATACAATTACTACCACTCTATACAATTACCACCACTCTATACAATTACTACCACTCCATACAATAACTACCACTCCATACAATTACTACCACTCTATTCAATTACTACCACTCCATACAATTACTACCAATCTATACAATTACTACCACTCCATACAATTATTACCACTCCATACAATTACTACCACTCTATACCATTACTACCACTCCATACAATTACTACCACTCCATACAATTACTACCACTCTATACAATAACTACCACTCTATACAATAACTACCACTCCATACAATTACTACCACTCTATACAATTACTACCACTCCATACAATTACTACCACTCTATATAATTACTACCACTCTATGCAATTACTACCACACCATACATCTACTACCACTCTATACAATTACTACCACTCCATACAATTACTACCCCTCTATACAATTACTACAACTCCATACAATTACTACAACTCCATACAATTACTACAACTACATACAATTACTACCACTGCATACAATTAGTACCACTCTATACAATTACGACCACTCCATACAATTAATACCACTCCATACAATTAATGCCACTCTATACAATTACGACCACTCCATACAATTATTACCACTCTATACAATTTCTACCACTCCATACAATTAATACCACTCCATACAATTACTACCACTCTATACAATTACTACCACTCTATACAATTACTACCGCTCTATACATACAACAGATATCCACATAGTGACAAATGTGAAATTTACCAAGGACAGCCCCAGGATAAACAACAGATACTATTTAACATGTGACACATACTGTGCCCCCCAACCCCACCCCTTCATGAATAATAAACTTAATTTATTTGTAATTAGTTATGAAGCCAGGTTAATCAATTAAAATTAATCACTCTTGTTGGTCCAGAATGAACCATTAACAGGAATTTCAAATGGGAGGAACTGGAGTACCAGAAGAGAAACCTGTTTGTTGGGCAGATGAACCTTTACCTGTTATATATCTGATCAAGGAATTACATCTCGCTGTCCTGGTGACAGTTGAGTGTGCGATCTCCTACCCCCCCCCCTTAGGAAATACTGGCTGTATACGTAGACAACATGGGTGATCAGGGCCAGGCTGTAGACAACATTGGTGATCAGGGCCTGGCTGTAGCCCACATGGGTGATTGGGGCCTGGCTGTCGACCACATGGGTGATAGGGGCCTAGCTGTAGACCACATGGGTGATAGGGGCCTGGCTTTAGACCACATGGGCGATAGGGGCCTGGCTGTAGACCACATGGGTTATCAAGGCCTAGCTATAGACCACATGGGTGATTGGGGCCTGGCTATAGACAACAGGGGTGATCCAGGTCTCACTGTAGACCACATGGGTGATCAGGGCCAGGCTGTAGACAACATTGGTGATCAGGGCCTGGCTGTAGCCCACATGGGTGATTGGGGCCTGGCTGTCGACCACATGGGTGATAGGGGCCTAGCTGTAGACCACATGGGTGATAGGGGCCTGGCTTTAGACCACATGGGCGATAGGGGCCTGGCTGTAGACCACATGGGCGATCAGGGCCTGGCTGTACACCACATGGGTTATCAAGGCCCGGCTGTAGACCACATGGGTGATCAGGGCCTGGCTGTAGCCCACATGGGTGATTGGGGCCTGGCTCTAGACCACATGGGTGATTGGGGCCTGGCTGTCGACCACATGGGTGATAGGGGCCTAGCTGTAGACCACATGGGTGATTGGCGCCGGGCTATAGACAACAGGGGTGATCCAGGTCTCACTGTAGACCACATGGGTGATCAGGGCCAGGCTGTAGACAACATTGGTGATCAGGGCCTAGCTGTAGACCACATGGGCGATAGGGGCCGGGCTATAGACCACATGGGTGATTCCAGGCCTGGCTGTAGACCACATGGGTGATCGGGGCCTGGCTGTACACCACATGGGTTATCAAGGCCCGGCTGTAGACCACATGGGTGATCAGGGCCAGGCTGTAGACAACATTGGTGATCAGGGCCTGGCTGTACCCCACATGGGTGATCGGGGCCTGGCTGTAGACCACATGGGTGGTCAGGGCCTGGCTGTAGACCACATGGGGGATTGGGGCCTGGCTGTCGACCACATGGGTGATAGGGGCCTAGCTGTAGACCACATGGGTGATCAGGGCCTGGCTGTACACCACATGGGTTATCAAGGCCTAGCTGTAGACCACATAGGTGATTGGGGCCTGGCTGTACACCACATGGGTGATAGGGGCCTGGCTGTAGACCACATGGGCGATAGGGGCCTGGCTGTAGACCACATGGGTGATTCCAGGCTTGGCTGTAGACAACATTGGTGATCAGGGCCTAGCTGTAGACCACATAGGTGATTGGGGCCGGGCTATAGACCACATGGGTGATAGGGGCCTGGCTGTAGACCACATGGGTGATTGGGGCCGGGCTATAGACCACATGGGTGATTCCAGGCTTGGCTGTACACCACATGGGTGATCAGGGCCTAGCTGTAGACCACATGGGTGATCAGGCCAACTAATCATAGCATCCTTATCCAAATTTGACGGGCGTATAAAACTAAATCTTTGTTTAGGGTTACATCGTTAGACCTGTTTCAGGGGCCAAACAGCTTTAGACCTTTTTCAGGGGCCAGTTAAACCCCCCTAACAGGAAATCCTATTGTGGGGTCATTTGATCTATTCAATAAGAGCTAGTTGAGATACATAATGAAATGTGTTGGATTAACTGGGTGGATACATGAGAAACGACAGCTTACTAAATGTCATGGCAACAGGACTGCAGATAGGTCGGAATGGTCTCCTGTCCCAGGTCTTCTGAGTTGGGTACAACCGACTTCTTACATCTTCCTTGCCGCTGTAAAATTGGAAGCAGAAGAAACAGGTAGATGAATAACATGCATTTCATTATTGATTGATTTTGTAAAAATAAAAGAACATCCTCAATGGGTTGTAAAAAATTACTTTGGCAAATTATTGAATTAAAGTGCAAAGAAATGTTATTTTAGTCAGTCATAATCAGCCACCATGTTATTATTTTGTTTACACGAAAATATACCTGTATGTGCTGTGTTGTATTTGTGATTCATAGAGTGTGTTATTTTTGTTTATCTTATTTGAATTATTGACCAGTGGATCAGTCATACCAAGTTTCATCAAGATCAATACCAAGTCCAAGATTGATATAGATCTCTTTTGATTTTTTCCGAATTTCCAGAATTTGAAGTATGAATCAGAATTGCCTGAAATTAAAGATAGCACGCACATCTAGGATTGTGTATGCTTTGGTTCCTTATCATCCCTTTTGCAGTTCCTGAGAAAAAGCAGTAACAAAGACGGATGCTTGGTGGCCTTTTTCTTTTTCTGATCTCAGTGCTGATTGGCGGACATTGCACTATTGCCCTCAGACGATTAATGGTAGGCAAAGACCCCCAAAGGAACAGCAAACACTACTTAATATACTAGTACTGTATACAGGGAAATTATTTGCTCAGTCAAATTTTTTTTCGATGGTAAAATCCATTTTTGCCCAATATTACATTTACTCTTCACATAGTTTTTCCTATCATACTTTGTTTTTTCCAATGTTCGCTGTAATGATAAATTCATCCACATTATGGAGGCAGAAAAGGTGACTGAAGCGAAACTTTCCTGGTTCTAGTATACAGTTTCTTAGAGTACACATAAATGCCATAGTAACACCTATTACTGGACTGATCACATGACCCTGCCTTTTTCCTTATTGGTGACAGGTTTTCATTACCATAGTAACACCTATTACTGGACTGATCACATATCCGTACCTTTTTCCTTATTGGTGACAGGTTCTCATTGCCATAGTAACACCTATTACTGGACCGATCACATAACCGTACCTTTTTCCTTATTCGTGACATGTTTTCATTGCCATAGTATATATACGTAACACCTATTACTGGACTGATCACATCACCGTACCTTTTTCCTTATTGGTGACATGTTTTCATTGCCTTAGTAACACCTATTACTGGACTGATCACATGCCCCTACCTTTTTCCTTATTGGTGACAGGTTTTCATTACCATAGTAACACCTATTACTGGACTGATCTCATAACCGTACCTTTTTCCTTATTGGTGACATGTTTTCATTGCCTTAGTAACACCTATTACTGGACTGATCACATCACCGTACCTTTTTCCTTATTGGTGACATGCTTTCATTGCCATAGTATATATACGTAACACCTATTACTGGACTGATCACATCACCGTACCTTTTTCCTTATTGGTGACATGCTTTCATTGCCATAGTATATATACGTAACACCTATTACTGGACTGATCACATAGCCGTACCTTTTTCCTTATTGGTGACATGTTTTCATTGCCATAGTATATATACGTAACACCTATTACTGGACTGATCACATCACCGTACCTTTTTCCTTATTGGTGACATGTTTTCATTGCCTTAGTAACACCTATTACTGGACTGATCACATGACCCTGCCTTTTTCCTTATTGGTGACAGGTTTTCATTACCATAGTAACACCTATTACTGGACTGATCTCATAACCGTACCTTTTTCCTTATTGGTGACAGGTTCTCATTGCCATAGTAACACCTATTACTGGACCGATCACATAACCGTACCTTTTTCCTTATTGGTAACATGTTTTCATTGCCATAGTATATATACGTAACACCTATTACTGGACTGATCACATCACCGTACCTTTTTCCTTATTGGTGACATGTTTTCATTGCCTTAGTAACACCTATTACTGGACTGATCACATAACCGTACCTTTTTCCTTATTGGTGACATGTTTTCATTGCCATAGTATATATACGTAACACCTATTACTGGACTGATCACATAACCGTACCTTTTTCCTTATTTGTGACAGGTTTTCATTGCCATAGTAACACCTATTACGGGACGGATCACATGCCCTTACCTTTTTCCTTATTGGTGACAGGTTCTCATTGCCATAGTAACACCTATTACTGGACTGATCACGTAACCGTACCTTTTTCCTTATTGGTGACAGGTTTTCATTGCCATAGTAACACCTATTACTGGACTGATCACATAACCTTACCTTTTTCCTTATTGGTGACAGGTTTTCATTGGCTGCTGTTCCGTCGGGTTTGAACATTTTTAGTAGATCCTTGATGTCAATCGACGTGGGTTCTGTCAAAATAGTGACCCACGAGTCAGTCAGGGTGTGAATGCAATAGCTACGATAACTCTCTACTCGATAATGATTTGATAAAATCTAAACAGATTTAAAATTGAGTACTGGCCTGTTTCTCATTAAACTGATAGTGGAGACGGCCACACTGTTTTCAATGTAAAGTTTGGGTACCTCACTCGGCCTCCCTTGTTTTGTTTATTATAGAATTAACTTCTTTTTTTTTGTATTCAGATATAGGCTCTTTTTATAGTTCCCTACATATAATACATTATCAATTTAAATGTCATTAATTAGTTAATTATATTGTCGCAATGTTGATTAAATTAATGAAATTTTGGCCAATTTGACCCCTTTTGGCTTTACCCTTAGGCCAATGGGGACTGGTAATCATAATAGTTCACAATTTGGTGCGTCTCTCGCCATGGAAGTTACTTGCAAAATTTTATTGAAATCAGTTCAGCAGATTATGAGAAGTCGAAATGTGAATTGTGTATGGACAGACAACACATGACAGGCAATAGGTTGCTTTGTCTCATAAGACCTGAAAATAAAAATAAAATACACGATGGACATAGAGTGTTGGACTAAACTTTACCTTGGGCTGGCTGTATAGGGGACGACAAAGCCACGCTGTCGGTAGACTGGAGACGGCTCAGTGTTCGCTTCTGGGACTCACAAAATATGAGGAGTTGTCTCTCCTGCCATTCTGTGGGATTGATTTCCAATTCTGAGGAAATAGCAGAAGATTTCACTTCAATAGCGCTCAGGTCACACTAGACCATCGACTCAAGACAAGACTCAAGATAGACTATCAACCAATGACGTCAGATTTAGGACCATAGAGATCAGACTTATGACCAACAAGGTCAGATTTAGGACCAACAAGGTCAGATTTAGGACTCACACAACTAAATCAGCCAATCAGCAAGTGTTTCATACGTTTGTTGTTCCTATCTTAAATCTGTTCTGGCTAATTACTGGGCCACTGAGGAAGTTTGATAAGGAACAGATGACAGATTTTTAGATAAACTAGAACACTGACAGGTCAGTAAGGGCCCCGACTCGGGGCAATATATCCCCCATAATAATCAAGACAAACTAGATCACCGACAGGTCAGTAAGGGCCCCGGCTCGTGGCAATATATCCCCTATAATCATCTAGACAAACTAGAACACTGACAGATCAGTAAGGGCCCCGTCTCGCGGCAATATATCCCCCATAAACTTCAAGACAAACTAAAACACTGACAGGTCAGTAAGGCCCCCGTCTCGTGGCAATATAACCCCCATAATCATCTAGACAAACTACAACACTGACAGGTCAGTAACGGCCCCGTCTCGTGGCAATATACCCCCCATAATCATCAAGACAAACTAAAACACTGACAGGTCAGTAAGGCCCCCGTCTCGTGGCAATATAACCCCCATAATCATCTAGACAAATTAGAACACTGACAGGTCAGCAAGGGCCCCGTCTCGTGTCAATATATCCCCCATAATCAGCAAGACAAACTAGAACACTAACAGGCCAGTAAGGGCCCCGTCTCGCGGCAATATATCCCCCATAAACTTCAAGACAAACTAAAACACTGACAGGTCAGTAACGGCCCCGTCTCGTGGCAATATAACCCCCATAATCATCAAGACAAACTAAAACACTGACAGGTCAGTAACGGCCCCGTCTCGTGGCAATATATCCCCCATAATCATCAAGAAGTAATCAGCCCATATAGTTGAGCTTGACGTTTGACATTTTGGACTTCAAAAAGAATCGCAAGGAAGCAAAATATACATTTTACATGTACTATGATGTGAGTCTTGTTTCTTTCCACATCCATATTTGCTGGGCTAACAGAAATGTAAATACCGGTGCAATACTCATTTGTTAGCTTTGATTTGTTTTATTTCACCTTATATACCTCCTCCATCAAGAGCCAGGGTCAAAGTCAGAGATCCACTTTGTATTTGACCTTTTGACCCAAATGACCTTGACAATTAACCCAGTGACCCTGATCTTTGGTCAGTTGACATATTCTTTAATTCCCACCAACTTTGCTTCATAATATCAAAACAAAATGTTCATCAGTGAAAAATATAAAACTTGACCTTGCCCTTTGGTCAAATGACTCCTTGTTTAATTCTGAGCAACATTGCTTCAAAGTGTCATACCAAAATGTTCACCAGTGAAAATAAACAAAATTTAACCTTGACCTTTGACCCAATGACCTTGACATTTGGTCAGGTTGACTCCTTGTTTAATTCTGATCAACTTTGCTCCATCATGTCATAACAAAATGTTCTACAGTGAAAAGATGCAAAATTTGAACTTGACCTTTGAACCTAATGACCTTGACCTTTGACCTTGACTTGTATTTTTGTGAACTAAACATCTTGACCAAGTTTCGTGTACATCGGTCAATAAATACCAAAGTTATCAGCCAGGATCAAAATTTGTGGACGGACAGAAAGACAGACAGACAGACAGACCGACAGTCAGACAGACAGACAGACAGACAGACAGACAGACAGACAGACAGAGTGATTACTATAGGGCAACCGTATCTCCGATACGGGGCCCTAATGAAATGTTCAGGTATTTAACTTTTGAAAAATGTATACTTTAGATATATTTCCATGTCTGTGTGCAGATTTGCACAGGGGCAGAATGTCTGGGGGTGTTTCTGTTTTGGGTCACCGGTTTTGCTTGTAAACTTATAGTTGCCAACTTCTGGACACTGTGACACTCCAATATACCACTAAACCTACCAAAAAAGTCATTTTGTAGCCTTTGCAAGGTATGGTATGTATTTATGAATTTAGACAGTTGTCACTGGTGTTGAACTTCAAATATTAAAGTTATTAGTTAAAATGTTTAGTAATAAGATTTAGTTGTGCGAGTCCTTAAGGACCATACAGATCAGACTAACGACCAATAAGGTCAGACAGCTGAACGGAAATTTACCTGACGAGGCACCTGTTGCCTCTACAGCTGGTGATGAAGCACAGCTTGGCTGAAACTTTGGTAACTCACACCACAAACTGTGTAGAAGTTCTGTGTAGATGTTTGTAAAGAAATCCTTGACCTCACTGACCTTGACTCTCTGACCTTGACCCTGATGTTCTCTTTCTTCTGAAATTACAAAATTAACATCATACAACACTAGAAAATTAATCAATGAAAAGTTTTTTTACAGAGAATATACAGTTCATATTTCAAGGTTTTTGTTTTTACAAAATCATTAAGAAAGAGGACTTTAAATTAGATGAAATCACAGCAAAAAATGCTCACCGTCAATTAAACATGTTAGCTTTGCTTATCTGGTCTCTATTAAACTTGTTTAACCTGTCAATTCTACCAGGGGTCAGCAAGAGCACTCGTTCGCTCAGCAACTTGTAGAATTAGAAGCAGAGTAGAATTTGAAGCAGATGAGTAGAATTTGAAGAGAAGACCTGATATACTTTATTTCTGGGTAATTACATATACCATCCTTCATCAATGTTTTCTCGTTATTTGCTTTCACTTTTGAGACGACTTCTGAAGATCAGTAAATAGTAAGTCTAACCACGGAATTAGATTAATTATCTAAGTCTGTGGTCTAACCAACCTCTGAATTATATGTGATCAAACATTTTACATATAGGGGTCACTAGTGTTAACTCCAGTGCACAATGATGTTAACTCTAGTTCACTACAGTGTAATCCAGTTCACTAGTGTTAACTCCAGTGCACAACAATGTAAACTCCAGTGCACTAATATTACAGTGTTTAACCTAGTTTTAAAAATCGGCAGTACAGATTTCGATTTTTATATTTTATATTTTGTATTATCTATAAATCTTTAGCTTTGATTTAATAATGGTTAGTTGGTTGTATAGGGTTTAATATCCACATGTAAGCCGTTTGACCTGGAACCTACCAAGCCACTGATGTAGTAATTCTGTCTGTCTCTTCCACAAAATTCTGTTAAATTCCTCTAGCATTTCTGTGTCAAGGGCAGGTAACTCTGACAAAATGTCCCCACAGTCAACCTCATCCTTTCCACCGTCATCAGAGGGCTGTACAGCGTTCTTAAACAGCAAAGTCATCAGAGAGCCGTTCAAAGCTTCCGGAGGACACAGTCTAGTAACAGATAGTCTTTGTTGTAAAGGTGATGGTTGTCGTGGTGACGTGATAAGGAAATGGAGGTAGCTGTACCCACTCAGTAACTCTTCTTCGGGCTCTGCAATAACAATCACACACCCAAATATTACAAAGCAGGCTTCTGAAGAAAATTCTTTTTTAAACAACTGCATTATATATTTGGTGAAAAACCTTTTTGTTTTCTATGTCTATAATATACCCTTAGTGGCATACAAAATTGTTTGGGCATAATGTATATTGCATGTTCATGAACTGAAGACAATTTCTGTTTAGCGAACACGAGCATAAAATTTTAAACAATAGATGCCACTCGTCATTCTAATATTAATTTGGCTGTTGCAAGGATGTGACTTATCCAAGAATTTTACTGTATATGATTGTATATAATTCAAATTGACGGGGAAAAATAAATCAAATATTGCATACTCCAGTCATCTTTATCGCTAACAAAAGTGGACAGACTATGAAATAGCTGGAATGCTTGTAATGAGAAAGGCCAGTTTGTCCTCTAAAATATTGGTTGGATGTATGGTTGGGCAACCAGAGCAGTACTAGGGGTGGCCAGGACTCCAGTGTATATACGGTATTTATCCACAAATAAGCCCCCACCCCTAGTGAAAAACCCTTATCTGGGAGCAGGTACGAAGCATTGTGATCAAGAGACATGTAATACTATAAGTGACGTTAATGTAGTCATCGGCCTCATTCTCACCTTGTACGAACATGATGTCTGACATGATGCTCTCCTTCCAGGTGGTGCTGTTCAGATAACGGTTGTGATTGGTCGAACATTCGTCCAATGGTTTGTTGTAACAGGCCAGTCGCGCCACAATTCCTGTCTGTAATAAATGGTGAATTAAACCAAGAGATCGCAATGAGATCTTGGTGCCCACTATAAATAATAATAATAATTTGAGGTTCTTATATACCGCTTTATCACAACCTAGTTCGTAGGTTGTCTCAAAGCGGTTCACAAATTATTATCCGTGGTTATAGGACCTTTGCAACCAGCCAATATCTTTCTCAACTACCTGGGGAGCATACAGCCGGTGCTGCCATTTTGGCGCTCGCAGCTAGCATTCAACAATTCCAGCACTGCCCAACCACATACTCATTTACAGCTGAGTAGACTGGAACAAGCAGAGTAAAGTATCTTGCTCAAAGATACAACACAGAGCTGTGACGTGACTCGAATCCTACCACTAGACTAGCGTGTCTCCTAAGATCTTTGTTAGTGCTATACTTTAATAGTTTGATCTTTTTTTCTTCTTAAATGTTCTTGGTTTATCTGTTTTTCAGTCATGTCAACAATAACGTCATCATATATAACTTTGAATCAAACTTCATACTGCTGTGTCGGACACTGTTTTCATTTTTAGACAGGTTTTACTCATCCCTGATATCCATAAGTTACGCTCTTTTTTGCTTTCTGCACCCCTGGAATATGTGCATCGCTCACCTAGTATTTATCTCACACTTGTAACCTCAAAAGTGATCTAAAATAAAGCTACAAGCAAAATATCATTATTTATGACTAACAGTCATTCAAATGAACCTGTTAAAAGATTTAAAAACCATTTTACCCCTGTGACCTTGAAAGTTGAACAAGGTCATTATGTTTAAAAAAAATTATAGCCCTTCATCTCAGGATGCAACTTGCAATATATCACCACCCTATCCTTTCGTTTATTGATATTAGGTCATTTAAATGTTTATACATATTTGACCAAATGTGATCTTGAAAGTGGGTCAAGGGCATTCAAACAAAAAGCTTGATAGCCCTTCATCCAAGCATGCTACTAACTAAATATCAACATTCTGGGCCTTTTGGTTATTCAGAAGATGTTGTTTCCCACTTTGCTTCTGGCCAAATATCATCACTCTAAGCCTTTTGGTTATTAAGAAGAAATTGTTTAAAGTAAAATATTGATGCCGGACACCTTTCGGGCCAGGTGAGCTAAAAATGATTCATCAAAGCTATAATCATGCTGGAAAATATTTGAATGCATAGATTCATTTTTTGGCAGTGGTACAGGGAACCTTCATATCAAATATCAAAATGTTCACTTCAATCAATGATGTTGGCATGAAATATGCTGATAAGAAGGATGCCTGTCTCCTAACTACAATACATGAAGGTAAAAGCATCAAAATTATGTTTACATCAGTTTTAAGATGTGTACATGATATATAACCTTGCAGTGTTGAAATGATGTATATATGATACACTGCAGAACAGTATTATAAACTTCAGGTTAATTAAAAAAAAACTTCAAAGATCGAAATCCCTGCTATTATGGTTAAATAAATATGAACTTCATTTTATGAACATAAAACAATAAATTTTACAAAGATTTATCAGTGAATCGTTTGGAAAAAAAGATGCACATAGAATTTCACAACTACATTCAAACTTTTATTTAAGTTAACTACAGTTACATCTGGTAACCATTTGCATATCAGCATTCAATACTTTTACCCTGCTTTAAAACAGGTAGCATGGTTGACACAGGGAAACAAGATCATGAAGGTAACCACATTCGTAAGCCAGACTGTGTCCTTTCATATAACCGTCACATGGGCGCTGTTGACCGTTGTGACCAGATGGTTGCCTATGGAGGTTTTAACCGGCGGACCTTAAAGTGGTGGAAGAAAGTGTTTTTCCATATGCTTGGTCTAGCAGTGTTAAATTTGTACCTCCTCTACAAGTACAGGACCCCTCAACCAGTTCCCCAAAGAGTATTCAGGAGAGAGCTTGTGGCTCAAATGGTTGAAGCTGCTGAAGTTCCAAGAATGGGTCAAAAAGGAAGAAAGGTGAAATCTGCAGAGAATCTTCAAAGATTAACAGCAAGGTATTTCCTTAGCCATTTACCATCAACAAACAAAAGTGCTCATGGCAGGAGACAGTGCATTGTGTGTGGGCCAGCTGAAGCCGACATCTTTAAATCGTCCAATCCAGGCATTGCACCTCCAAAAAGGACAGGACACGAAACCTGCTTTCAGTGCCAGCAGTGTGGTGTACCATTGTGTATCGAGCCCTGCTTTCAGTTGTATCACACAAAGTCAGAATACATTTTAGCCTACAAACGGCAAAAGTTAGGAGAACAAGACCACACCGAGGAGTAATGTAAAATCCGATGTGTATATATTTTACCATTTCACTATACTACTAACTTTCATTGTTTAGATGGACAATATTAGACTTGTACGGTTATACCCTGGTATATTGCTTATAATGATTAGACCGACTTTGTTTTCACTTAATTTGACCTGAAGGATATGAAGTATGAAGATTATTTTCTGCAGGTATGTTTTATAAGTGGTATTAGTATCCCAGGACGCTGGATCAGCTTACATTGACGTCGACACTACATGAAAACTAGTATATGAATTTATGAAAATTTGAATTTCCACACTGATGAGTTATCTCCCCTACATGATACTGAAAACTTACCAAACATTTTTATACAACCTGTCTAATATGTAATTATATCTATGATAGATACTATCTAATCACTTGCAGATTATATCAACACCATTTAGATATAATTTTGCAAGTTATAGTGAAAATAGAGAAAATTTGATATGCCTGTTTTGATGTGAATTGTAAAACATCAGTAACACAACTGGTAAGTATAAATGGCCTAAATATACAAGTTTTAGATATATCTCGGTTATAAAACGACTTCAATGGCTTCGATCCAATTCTGAAGAACATTTAAACATAATTTATTTTTACTGAATTTAAAAAAAAACAAGAGACCCAAGAGGGCCTGTATCACTCACCTGAATATTTAAGCAGTCATAGCAAAATATTCTCATTAAATATTATATTGCACTAAAAATATTTTCCTCGCAAACTTTGTTGGCTCCATCTGTTGAAACTACCAGCAAAATATTATTACAAGATTCTATACTTTTTGATTCTTCAGAAGTTGCCTGACATATTTTTCCCTGTGACCTTGTAAGTAGGTCAATGTCATTTTCCTTCTCAAATTGGTAAGCTCTATTCCAAAAGCTACCAGCCAAATCTTATGAATCCATTCCTTTTAGTTCTTAAGAACAAATCCATTAAAATGTTGTTGACCTCTGTGACCTTGAAAGTAGGTCAAGGTCACTTTCCTTCACAAACTTTGTTGGGCTCTTTCCCAGGAAATAACAAGCCGAATATTAAGGTTCTATAACTTCCAGTTCTTCAGAATAAGTCATTTGAAGTGTTTCACATATCTGCCTCATGTGACCTTAAAAGTAGGTCAAGGTCACTTTCCTTCACATACTTTGTTGGGCTCTTTCCCAGGAAATAACAAGCCGAATATTAAGGTTCTATATCTTCCAGTTCTTCAGAAGAAGTCATTTGAAGCTTTTGACACATTTGTCCCCTGTGACCTTGAAAGTAAAACAAGGTAATTTTCATTATCAAACTTTGTTGGGCTCCATCCCAGGAACCAATCAGCCAAATATGAAGATTTTATACCTTTTAGTTCTTCAGAAGAAGTCGTTTGTAGATTTTGACATATTTGACCCCTGTGACCTTGAAAGTAGGTCAAAGTCATTTTCATTCTCAAACTTTGTTAAGCTTCATCCCAGGAATCCATCAGCCAAATATGAAGATTCTATACCTTTTAGTTCTTCAGAAGAAGTCGTTTGAAATTTTTGACATATTTGACCCCTGTGACCTTGAAAGTAAAACAAGGTAATTTTCATTATCAAACTTTGTTGGGCTCCATCCCAGGAACCAATCAGCCAAATATGAAGATTCTATACCTTTTAGTTCTTCAGAAGAAGTCGTTTGAAATTTTTGACATATTTGACCCCTGTGACCTTGAAAGTAGGTCGAAGTCATTTTCATTCTCAAACTTTGTTGGGCTCTTTTCTAGGAAGCTACAAGCCAATTATAAAGATTCTATACCTTTCAGTTCTTCAGAAGAAGTCATTTGAAGTGTTTCCCATATCTGCCTCATGTGACCTTAAAAGTAAGTCAAGGTCATTTTCATTCTCAAACTTTGTTAAGCTTCATCCCAGGAATCCATCAGCCAAATATGAAGATTCTATACCATTTAGTTCTTCAGAAGAAGTCGTTTGTAGATTTTGACATATTTGACCCCTGTGACCTTTAAAGTAGGTCAAGGTCATTTTCGTTCTCAAACTTTGTAGGGCTCCTACCAACAAAGCTTTCAGCCAAATATCATGACTCTAGGCCTGTCCGTTCTTCAGAAGAAGTTGTTTAAAGGAAAAGTTGACGGACGAGGACGGACGGACGGACGCCGCACCACGACATAAGCTCACTTGCCCTTTGGGCAGGTGAGCTAAAAATTAAAACCATTCAGCACTAGGTGTATCCCCATATGGAACAATTCAGCACCACTAGGGTTAACCTTTGTAGTCATTTCTCTGACCAGGTTTTTCTGAGCTCGTATACCTACATGACGGTCAGCTGTCAACTGATCCACGAAGGCACGAGAGTGGGGATGTGAGTCAGCCAAACACCTGTACACACAGATAAGGAAATAATAATCATTATAATTTGAGGTTCTTATACCGCTTTATCACAACCTAGTCTGGAGGTCGTCTCAAAGCGGTTCACAAATTATTATCCGTGATTATAGGGCCTTTGCAAACAGCCAATACCTTTCTCAACTCCCTGGGGAGCATACAACCGGTGCTGCCATTTCGGCGCTCACAGCTATATATATAGCTAGCATTCAACAATTCTAGCACTGCCCAACCACGTACTTATTTACAGCTGAGTTGACTGGAACAAGGGTAGTAAAATGTCTTGCTCAAGGATACAACACAGTGCCGTGAATAGACTAGAACCCGCAACCCTTCTGACACAAACCCAGTTTCTTACCGCTAGACTACCGTGCCTCACAACCCTTCTGTCACAAGCCCAGATTCCTACTGCTAGACTACCGTGCCTCACAACCCTTCGGTCACAAACCCAGTTTCCTACTGCTAGATTACCCTGCCTCACAACCCTTCGGTCACATACCCAGTTTCCTACCGCTAGACTACCCTGCCTCACAACCCTTCGGTCACGAACCCAGTTTCCTACTGCTAGATTACCCTGCCTCACAACCCTTCGGTCACGAACCCAGTTTCCTACCGCTGGACTACCGTGCCTCACAACCCTTCTGTCACAAGCCCAGTTTCCTACGGCTAGACTCCCGTGCCTCACAACCCTTCGGTCACGAACCTAGTTTCCTACCGCTAGACTACCCTGCCTCACAACCCTTCAGTCACGAGCCCAGTTTCCTACCGCTAGACTACCGGGCCTCACAACCCGTCGGTCACGAACCCAGTTTCCTACCGCTAGATTACCCTGCCTCACAACCCTTCGGTCACAAACCCAGTTTCCTACCGCTAGACTACCGTGCCTAACAACCCTTCGGTCACGAGCCCAGTTTCCTACCGCTAGACTACCCTGCCTCACATCCCTTCGGTCACGAACCCAGTTTCCTACCGCTGGACTACCGTGCCTCACAACCCTTCTGTCACAAGCCCAGTTTCCTACCGCTAGACTACCGGGCCTCACAACCCTTCTGTCACGAGCCCAGTTTCCTACCACTAGACTACCGTGTCTCACAACCCTTCTGTCACGAGCCCAGTTTCCTACCGCTAGACTACCGGGCCTCACAACCCTTCTGTCACGAACCCAGTTTCGTACCGCTAGACTACCGTGTCTCACAACCCTTCTGTCACGAGCCCGGCGTCCTACCGCTAGACTACCGGGCCTCACAACCCTTCGGTCACGAACCCAGTTTCCTACCGCTAGACTATCGTGCCTCACAACCCTTCGATCACGAGCCCAGTTTCCTACCGCTAGACTACCGGGCCTCACAACCCTTCTGTCACGAGCCCAGTTTTCTACCGCTAGACTAGCGGGCCTCACAACCCTTCTGTCACAAACCCAGTTTCCTACCGCTAGACTACCGTGCCTCACAACCCTTCTGGCACGAGCCCGGCGTCCTACCGCTAGACTACCGTGCCTCACAACCCTCCTGTCACGAGCCCGGCGTCCTACCGCTAGACTACCGTGCCTCACAACCCTTCTGTCACGAGCCCAGTTTCCTACCACTAGACTACCGTGCCTCAAATCCCTTCTGTCACGAGCCCAGCGTCCTACCGCTAGACTACCGTGCCTCACAACCCGTCGGTCACGAACCCAGTTTCCTACCGCTAGACTACAGTGCCCCACAACCCTTCTGTCACGAGCCCAGTTTCCTACCACTAGACTCCCGTGCCTCACAACACTTCGGTCACGAGCCCAGTTTCCTACCGCTAGACTACCCTGCCTCACAACCCTTCAGTCACGAGCCCCGTTTCCTACCACTTGACTACCGTGCCCCACAACCCTTCGGTCACGAGCCCGGCGTCATACCACTAGACTACCGTGCCTCACAACCCTTGGGTCACGAGCCAAGCGTCCTACCACTAGACTACCGTGCCACACACCCCTTCGGTCACGAGCCCGGCGTCCTACCGCTAGACTACCATGCCACACAACCCTTCGGTCACGAGCCCAGCTTCCTACCACTAGACTACCGTGCCACACAACACTTCGGGCACGAGCCCGGCGGCCTACCACTAGACTACCGTGCCTCACAACTCTTCGGTCACGAGCCCAGTTTCCTACCGCTAGACTACCCTGCCTCACACCCCTTCAGTCACGAGCCCCGTTTCCTACCACTTGACTACCGTGCCCCACAACCCTTCGGTCACGAGCCAAGCGTCTTACCACTAGACTACCGTGCCACACAACCCTTAGGTCACGAGCCCAGCGTCCTACCACTAGACTCCCGTGCCTCACAACACTTCGGTCACGAGCCCAGTTTCCTACCGCTAGACTACACTGCCACACAACCCTTCGGTCACGAGCCTGGCGGCCTACCACTAGACTACCGTGCCACACAACACTTCGGTCACGAGCCACTACCGTGCCTCACAACCCTTCTGTCACAAGCCCAGTTTCCTACTGCTAGACTACCGTGCCTCACAACCCTTCGGTCACGAGCCCAGTTTCCTACCACTAGACTACCGTGCCTCCCAACCCTTCTGTCACGAGCCCGGCGTCCTACCGCTAGACTACCGTGCCTCACACCCCGTCGGTCACAAACCCAGTTTCCTACCGCTAGACTACCGTGCCACACAACACTTCGGTCACGAGCCACTACCGTGCCTCACAACCCTTCTGTCACGAGCCCAGTTTCCTACCACTAGACTACCGTGCCTCACAACCCTTCGGTCACGAGCCAAGCGTCCTACCACTAGACTACCGTGCCACACAACCCTTCGGTCACGAGCCCAGCGTCCTACCACTAGACTACCGTGCCTCACAACCCGAATGGTGAATATTTGACTGAGGGAAAGTTTGCGGTAAACAGTACTCTCTGCTTCATGTAGCAGAAGGTAATGTCACAAAAAGGTATGCAAAGAAACTTGACAGTGAAAGGATACAGGCTGTATCTCTCTTTGGTAATCATGAAGGCAGGAATGGTGGTCAAGGCAACCTCGTCAAGAACCTCCAGTGTCCGGCCCCACACCCTCTGCTCTTCACCCTACAATTGAACATACATATTATGTGGTATTTTTGTTTGTTTGTGGTATTATCATTTTAGCAGCGATACATACTGTACAGTTACATATTTTGTGGTATTATCATTTTAGCAGTTATACATACTGTACAGTTACATATTTTGTGGCAATATTATTTTAGCAGTTATACATACTGTAGTTACATATTCAGTGGCAATATAATTTTAGCAGTTATACATACTGTATAAGATCAAGCAACAGTCTAGAGTATATCAATAATTTATTACCTATTTGCCAGTGAAATTTGGGTTCTTTCAACTTGATAAAACTCTTATCTTTCACACTGTGATAAATATCACTTTTTAGTATTGACCAATCATAACGTTATCTTCTATTTGTTGCAATCAAAGGCAATGATTTTTTGTTCAGATTCAAATGATTCGACGGTAGAATAAGTGGTTGCTATGGTAAATGCTTGGTACACATACTTAAGTGTTTACAGAAATATACAATTAATAACATTTTAATGAGCAATCATAACAGAAAATAGCAGAAAACGTCGGAATTGCATCGAGTATTCCATTCAAAATGGTGCGCAGCCTTGTCAAGCGTGACGTCATTGGAATATGGCACTAATCATTACGCTTCTGTTTCACGTCCTTTTTTAATGCATTACATTTTTCATGCTTTATGCTTTAAAAATGTTATAAATAGATAATTCAATGGTGTCTTCACTCTTCAATAAAAATAAATATATTTTACTCGTGTGGCTAATATTTTTTCATATATTTCACTCGTGCGAATATCAAAATATTAGCCACTCTCGTGAAATATATTTGTTATTACTGAAGACACCGTTAAATATCCTCTATATCTTATTTTGGTACATCTGTATATCTCATATTACTAACCAGATCAAATCCATCACATTTCTTCAATACAAAGCCAGGCAAGACATATCCTCTATGTACCTGATGTAAATGAAAAAAAATCAGAGATTAGCAAAATTTACACAGACATGTTTCGTTTATATTGAGTTTTCGGAAAAACATTAATTTCACATAGAATGGCAGTGTGTTTCCTGCCTTATTGGAGGTTGGTAATCCACCCATTCCAAATGCAATTTGCCTGATTCCCCCCCCCCCCCCCCCCCCCAAATAAATCACTGTCTAATCTCACACCCTGTGTGACACAACATATTGGTAAGTCATTAACCTGTCTAATCTGACACCCTGTGGGACACAACATATTGGTGAGGTTAACCTGTCTTATTTGACACCCTGTGGGACACAACATATTGGTTATACTAACCTGTCTAATCTGACACCCTGTGGGACACAACATATTGGTTATACTAACCTGTCTAATCTGACACCCTGTGGGACACAACATATTGGTGAGTCATTAACCTGTCTTATCTGACAAATTAGACACTGTGTTGAAATACACATGCTCTTTGACAGTTTTCTGTAAATATCAGATTTGACAGAGTGTCAGGACACTCAGAGGTGAGAATAGACAGGTTTTACTGTAATGATTAGGAATTCAAATACAGATGTGTAACCTTTGACAACTATCTTAAAGCAATCATATTTAAATTTTTGCATATTTTTATTTTAAATTTTAATATAGGGATGGAAAAATGATATTAGCACATGTTTCCCATAAACAGGACAGTCGTCTGCCCAACACTTAATGGTATTGACCATAATGCCACTTAATGGTATTGACCATAATGCCACTTAATGGTATTGGCTATAATGACACTTAATGGTATTGACCATAATGCCACTTAATGGTATTGACCATAATG